GCTTTATGATTTGACGTCTTGCATTTCTTACTCCCTGAATTTACCATAGATGCATTTATCTAGGTATTTTGATTTTCATAATCCGGCATGTTCTCTTAGAGCCTTATTCAATTTCTCTAAAAGTTTGGCTCATCTTTGCATTTCTTACAAGTGGGCTTCTGCCTTTATTACCCAAGTTTATAACTTAGTCAATTTTCACATACTTTAAACCTTGTATGAGTTGCCCCCATCATGGCTGAGTTGCAACTCGGGTTGATTTTACTTTCGTAACCCTGGATTTTCCAAGTTATGCAATAAACTTTATCCAAGTTTTACCCCATATTAATTGGTGATTCTTTCAACTTGGAGAAATTTACTTAACTCGTGCATTTTACGAGCTTTATATTATAAGTTATACTCGAGTGTTATCCACCATCTACTGGCGAATTTTTTCAAATCGAATAAACTTACTAAACTCATGCATTTTACGAGTTTTTTATTATAAGTTATACTTTGAGTGTTATCCACCATCTACTGGCGAATTTTTTCAACTCGAATAAACTTACTAAAACCGTGCATTTTACGAGTTTTTTATTCTTGACCCGGCCAAGGTCAAAGCATTGTACGGATTCCGTTTTCTGTCATTCTCAATGACGCATGTTTGTTTTGACCTACCTGTTCTGGTAAGTCTGTATTAATAATGGATATCGTTTTTACTGACTTAACCATTTGTTTTAATTTGAATTTTATAACTCAATTTTATGTAAGATAAAGACAACATTGTCATCTGTCCTTTTTGGTTCGTAGACCGAAAATAAGGAGCATTTTTTGATCAGAGTTACTTATGACAAATTGTGCTTGTACCTCGAATTTCGTATTGATGCATCAAAAATAGATAAGGACAAATCTTTAAAAAGAAAAATTCTTCATTTATTGATATCAAATTGTGAACTACATGAATTTGCCGGCATATTCGGCTTTAGTTAAATCCCTAATAGAGGAAAATATAACTGAATTGAAATATTTCAAAAATCAGAAGATGGATCCGGGATTTAGCTGTAATATATCTTCAGCTTATCCGTGTTTCAGGTTCTCTTAATTCCTTTTCCTTCTATTGTCTCTAGGACATAAGCTCATTTTCCGAGCTTCTCTTTAACCCGGTACGGGCCTTCCCAGTTTGCAGCTAGCTTTTCATCTCTGGCGTTTTTTTTGCCAATGTCTGCTCTCTTGAGTACCAAGTCATTGTTCTCAAAGATTCTTGGTCTCACTTTCTTATTATATCTAACCGTTGTTTGTTGTTTGGCCATCATATCCCGGCAGTGAGCTATGACTCTGGCTTCGTCTACAAGATCTAACTCTTCTGTAAGCAATTTACTGTTTTGTTGCTCTCGCCTTGTTTGACACTATTCAACCTTCTCCAAGAGGGCTCTCCAACTTCCACCGGGATCATGGCTTCGCATCCATACGTCATTCGAAAAGGGGTTTCCCCTGTTGCAGTTTGGGTACTCTTTCTATATCCCCAAAGGACAAAGTATAGCTGTTGAACCTGGCTTTCTTCAGCGTCAAACATCTATTTTTTGAGACCATTCACAACCACTTTGTTCGCTGCTTCAGCTTGCCCATTCGACTGTGAGTGTTCCATAGATGCAAAGCGATGTGTGACTTGTAGGTCTTTCATCAATTGTTGGAATCTTTTATCAGCAAACTGTGTTCCATTATCAGTGACCACCTCGGCTGGTATTCCAAATCTGGAGACGATGTTCCGTTCAAAGAACCTCTGTACTCTGGCCGAGGTGATTGTGGTGACTGGCTCTGCTTCTATCCACCTTGTGAAGTAATCCACAACTACAATCAACCACTTTAATTGCCCTTTAGCAGCTTTGAAGGGCCCCAGCAAATTCATCCCCCATTAGAAGAAGGGCCACGGAGCCGAGATATTTTTCAGTTCTTCAAGTTGCGAAAGAATTAGCTTGGCATGCTTCTTACAGCTGTCACATCTATTGACGTGTTCTTTAGAGTCTGCCTTCATTGTCGGCCAGTAATAACCAGCTCGGAGGGCCTTTCTAGCCAGAGCTTTGCCTCCCATGTGACGGCCATTGATTCCTTCATGTATATCAGCCAGAACATATTCTGCTCCTTCCAAGTTCAAACATTTCAGCATAGGGATATGCAAACCCTTCCTAAACAGCTGGTCGTTCATAATTGTGTATTGTGTCGCATGTTGAACCAGTTTCCTGGATTCCAGACGATCTTTTGGCAATATTCCTTTTTCAAGGTATGCCACTATGGGTTGCCTCCAGTCATTTGTCGAGGTTATAACCATCACGCAGCTCGGCATTGTTATGCTTTTCTATACCACAGTTCTGTGATTACCTGAATTTTTGGTACTTGCCAATTTAGACAGGATATCAGCTCGGCTATTTTCCCCTCGAGAAATATGAGTAACTTTCACTTCATCGAAGTCGACCATCATTTCTTGAACTTTGTTCAAGTATTTCATTAGTAGAGGACCTTTGGCCTGATACTTTCTCTCTATCTGCGAAGTCACCAATTGTGAGTCACTGAAGATTTTTACCTTTCTAGCTCTGTGTTCTTTAGCCTGCATCAATCCGGCTATCAAAACTTCATACTCAGCTTGGTTATTCGAAGTTGGGAAGCCCAAGTTTAAGGAGTGTTCAATTGTCACCCCTTCTGGGCTTACGAGTATGATTTCGGCTCCACTTCCTTTATTATTGGAGGATCCATCTACATAGACCTTCCATATATCCCCAGATTCTTCCCTTTCTGGGTTCAACGGGGTTAGCTCCATTGTGACTTGATGGCCTTCCGACTTTCATATGTTATGTCGTACTCACTAAACTCAATTGCCCAGTTAGTCATTCTTCCTGCCAGGTCCGGCTTATGCAACACCTGCCTTATAGGCTATTGGTTCTGACTATTATTTGATTTCCCTGAAAGTATGGCCGCAATCTTCTAGCAGTGATCTGCAGGGCAAAAGCCACTTTTTTCAGCTTTTGGTATCTGACCTCTGCGCCTTGTAGGGCTCTACTGACGAAATAAATTGGCTCTTGGCCATTATCAGTTTCCCTGATCAGGACAGCACTTATTGCCTCTTCCCCCACAGCCAGATATAGGATCAAAATATCTCCTGTTCTGGCTTTGAGAGCACTGGCGGAGTTGCTAAATATTTCTTGACATTGTCAAATGCGGCTTGGCATTCCAGGTTCTAGCCTTCCATTGCTTCCTTCTTTAATAATTTAAAGAATGGTAGTGCATTCTCAGCAGACATTGGTAAGAATCGGGTTAATGCGGCTAATCGACCCGTTAACTGCTGAACTTCCTTTTTTTTCTGGGGTATCTTCATATCAAGTACTGCCTTGCACTTGTCAGGGTTTGCTTCAATTCCTCTATGGGTTAACATGAAACCCAAAAACTTACCAGCTGGGACTCCAAATTCGCATTTTACCGGGTTTAGACAGATACAATACTTCCTGAGCTTCTAAAATGTCTGCTCAAGATCCTCGACATGACTTGTCATATCGAATGACTTTACTATCATATCATCAATGTATACTTCTACATTTTTGCCCAGCTGATCTTCAAACACCTTTTTCATCATCCTTTGATAGGTTGCCCTTGAGTTTTTACGCCCAAATGGCACCACATTGTAGCAATAGTTAGCCTTTTAAGCAATAAAGGCGGTTTTTTCTTGATCCTCTAGGTACATTGGAATCTGGTTGTATCCCGAGTAGGCATCCATAAATGACAATAAACGAAATCCAGTTGAGTTGTCTACCAGTTGGTCTATGTTAGGCATAGGATAAGAATCCTTTGGGAAAACCTTGTTCAAGTCCGTGTAATCAGTATAGACTCTTCATTTTCCATTTGGTTTTTTCACCATCACCATGTTCGCAAGCCATGTTGTGTATTGTATTTCCCGAATGAACCTAGCATCCAACAACTCCTTAACGTGTTCTTCTATGACTTGTTTCCTCTTTGGTCCCAACTTCCTTTTCTTTTGAGAGACCGGCATGGATCCGGGATAAACTGCCATCTTATGGCAGCAGAAGGCAGGATCGATGCCTGGGATCTCAGATGACTTTCAAGCAAATACATCTGTGTTTCTTTTGAGGAAATTGGCTAACTCTTTTTTAATTTGAGGATCTATGGTCTTACCAATTCGGGTAAATTGACCAAGCTCTTCTCCCAATGCGAGGTTTTCTAACTCCCCGTCGGGTTCGGGCCTCGGTATTGTTTCTTCTCTCATGTCGAGTTCAACCACATTAACAGGCTTCCTTGAGTGGTGAGGAATTATGTTTTTGCCGAGTTTACCCCCCAGATGAATCCGGGGTGGACTCGAATGTCCGTCTTCATTTTCTTTGACAGTGTCGAAATAGCATCCCCTGGACTCCTTTTGATCTCCACAAACAGTAATTATTTCATTCTTACAGCTTACCATTTTTATCTTCTGGTGCTTTGAAGAAACCAGCATGTCCCACTGGTGTATGTTGGTCTTACCATAATTATATTATATTCTGATGAGAAATCAGCCACTATGAATCTCACCCTTTCTGATTTGAACGCTTCTTTGGTTCCCAAGGTCAACCTGAGATCTATGTAGCCTTTAGGAGGTGTATGCTCTCATTAAAAGCTATCAAAGTTGTTTTGCAAGGTTTGAGGTCCTCCTCGTCCAGGTTCATCTTTTTGAAAACATCCCACAGTATGATGTCGGCACTGCTTCCTGCATCGACAAAAATCTTTTTAACCCGGATATTTACCAAGGTTTCAGCAATGACTAATCCGTCTACATGTCCTGGCAACACACCATGCATGTCCTCCTTTGTAAAATACGACAAAGGAGTATCTGGTTTGCTTAGGTCTTCTTTGAATTTGGGACGGTCCCTAATAGAGAGGACCTCTTTCAAGTACTTTCTTCTTGCACTTACAGTGTCCCCTCCTCCTCCAAGGGCTCCACTAATTACATTGCAATCGAATTTCGCTTCCGGGAATTCATCAGGGTTTCAATCATCTTTGTGGTTCCTTTCCTCCTTATTTTTCTTTTCAGGAACCAGACTTTTACTTCTATTTCTATTTCCCGATTTCCTTTTGTTGTTTTTGGAGCCTTGAGTTTTGATCATATATTGGCTTAATCTTCCATCTCTCACGAATTTCTCCACAGCATCTCGGAGATCCCAACATTGATCAGTTGTGTGACCCGGTCCATCATGAAAAGCACAGTATTTGGACTTGTCCAGACCTCCTCTGTCGAATATGGGTCGTGGTCTCTCTACTTTCTTCATCTCCGTCATTGCCACTTCTCTCCAGATTTGAGAGCGTGACACATTCAACGGTGTATATTTTTCATACCTTCCAACACGATCTCGGTTATCTGGGATTCTGGCCCTAGGATCTTTTTTCTTGTTGTCGATTCGTTCTTTTCCTTTTGGGGTCGAGCCTCTTCTTCTCGGGCTAATTCTTTTACCCTCTTTAGATTGCGCATTTTCAATCTCCATTTGATCGAGTTCGAGGTACTTCTTCGAACGATTTCTAAATTCTTCCAACGTCCTCACTCGGTCCTTATAGACCGACTTGGCTAGTCTGGATGCACCGTCCAAACCAGCCACAATGAGATGTACATGGACATTTTCTTGTAATTCGGGGACTTGCAATGCAGCGTCCTTGAACCGGTTGAGGTACCTCTGGAGGGTTTCTCCGGGTTGTTGACGTATCTTTCCAAGTGCGAACTCGGACTTTGGATGTTTTTTGTTGATCGCAAAGTTTAAGAGGAATTTTTTTTCTGAATTCCTCAAAGGATCTGATGGAATTAGCATGAAGAGTTGAAAACCATGCCTGTGCTGCCCGAGTTAGGGTTATGGAAAATATCCAGGATATGAGGGGTTCATCAATTCCTCGGATATATATGTTCGTGTCGAAAGCATCTATGTGGACTTGTGGATCTTGACTTCCATCGTACTTTGGCAAGCGTGCCGAGTCGAAATCCTCCGGGAAAAAGGCGTTCACTATTTCACCAGTGGAAGGGCTATTATTATACTCCCCCTGCTGTACTTCCTTCTGTACCCACCGGATTCCACGCGCCCTCTGATAATCTGAGCATTCTGGTTGGGGTGGAACCCATCCCGGTCCCTCTGCCCATTAACTTATGCTAGATGGTTTTGAGTCATGGCCTGTATAGTAGCGTTTTGGCCATCCGCCATCTGGTTTTCCAGGTTCGGATTCGTTGTGTTCACCGGATTGGACCTTTCACGATTTTCCACCTCAGTAACCCGGTTTTGTTGAACCAAGTTGTGATTTCCTTCCCGGCCATTGGCACGCTGGTCTTCCCCTGGTCCATTTAGCTTCGTTAAGCGCTGTTCCAGGTCGCGCATTCCCTTAATATTTTCGTCTCGTATCGTTTGGAAATCTTGTTGCCCCTGAAGGTTATTATGATTTTCCATCTCTGCAACTCGTTGCATAATCGCATCAAATGCATTCTGAGCCAGCCGAGTGTCTGGATCGACTTTTTGGGCAATACGCGCGGCAAGATCCTCAAGGAGTTGGGAAGGGTTGTTTCTTACTGGAGCAAGAATTGGATCAGCACCCCTATCTCGACGCGCTGGAGTGGACCCGGTGTCCGAGATGTCTTCACTGACATGGACATGGTCATAGTCCACGTCATTTCCAAGCTGGTTTTGAGGCTGATTTACCTCTTCCAGAACTGGATCCAGCGGTTGATTCTGGTTTTGGGGTAGCTGCTGGCTACTACTCCTTGTTTGGATTGTCATTCTTCATCAGATTGGTGGGAACTTCAAATTCAGAGTAGAATTCTCCACAGACGGCGCCAATGTTCTGTCCTTGGGACAGAGATGTCCAGCCCAATAGGCTGGTATGTTTCTCTTGGATCTAGTGCCCTCTCCAAGGTATCTATGAAGAAGATACCCTTGAGTCAAGTAGATCACTGCGCACAGAATACTGTAACGGCGTTAGCCAATGGGATGTGTGTGCGCGCACAATGATAGCATAACAGTAAGAGAGAGTGTAACGTACCTTTAGGGTTTACCTTGTATTTATAGAGGTTACCTGCGGGTAGTGTGGATGGGCCTTTGGTGCCTTTGGTAAGAGACCAGACCTGCTTGCTATGCTGTCGTATTAGGATTAATATCCTTGATGGATATCTATCCATTATTATTATTGATTCAGATCTTGGATTGTCCCTTGTTGGGCCTATCACTTAATGGGCAGGGGTATGGGTCCATAACAGTTCCTATTAAACTTGTTACAAGAGTTTTTTTTAGGATTTTCGGAAAACTGAAACTGATAATCTTATTTATCCACGTTTGGTACAAGATTTTTAAAATTTTCTCGAGAATATGATTTTCTTATAATTTTATTTTGTGTGTGAATTCTTTTGAAAAAACATCCAGGAATACCATCCAGAAAGTGGTATTTTAGGATTTCTATGGCAAGGGAAAATTTAATACAACTAAACATAGCATCAAGAAAATTAACCTAATATTCCCAGGAATATGTTAGTCTACCAAACAACTTTTTGCTAACATTCTCAGAAAACTCATTTCTCATCATATTCCTGAAAATCGTGATTCTCGGATAAAAAAATATTTGCTCCTCTACCAAATGCTCCCTTGGTGAAATCTTTTTGTTTTTAGGTTTTTAGTGAGAAATTTAATATATTTTTACGAAACATTTCATTTTTATTGTCCTTTATCCATCTTCGTATTCCTCTCTATTTGGTGGTATATTTGCTTCGAAGAAAGTGAAATTAACGGGGAGAACATTTTTATTTTAAAAATCAAGAAAGTCACATAATGTTTGTAAAAATAAATAGAGTAAATATCTTTTTTGGTCCTCAGCAAATTTCATGATGCCTGTTTTAGTCCCTAGCAAATAAAAAAGCCTATCGTGGTCCTTAAAAAATGCAAAATGGACCCATTTTAGTCCTTTTGAGGACTAATATGGTTTTTTTTTTAAATTTGTGAGGGACCGCGATTTCAACTAAATGAGTCTATTTTGATTTTTGTAGGGATCTCGATGGGCCTTTTTATTTGCTAGAGACTAAAACGGGTATCGTAAAATTTGCTGAGGACTAAAAAGGGTAATTACTCAAAATAAATAAAAGATGATCGAAAGCTTTGATGATAATCTATTTAAATGACAATTTTACCACAATTCCGTAGATGTAACACGTAAGAAATGACAATTTCAATATTTTTTGTGGACATTTTTATTTGCAACAAAGCGTCGAAGGATGAGAAAAAGTGGAAAAATCGAAATCTTAATTGGCGTTTGGCATGCACGTAAAGTCAATAATTTCTCGGAGTGGATCATCTCACGTGAAAAGTGATCATATTATTTGATCATAACTATTTATTTATGATAAAATATGATAAAAATATATATAATTTTTAAATAAATAATTATGATTAAATAACATGACCACTTCTCTACGTGATAAGAAAATCTATTCCCATAATTTCTACCAGTATTATAATTTTTTTCGATGTAAGCGCTCTCTCTCTCTAGATATACAAATGGCAAGCATTTATGGTCTGAAAAGGGTTGAGGACAATTTCAAATGGCATTCTATTTCTGGTTATGTCTTTTGGCACATGCCTTTGCTGTTCTGGGGGCAGTGGCACCTCCAGTGTAGCCATGGACATTGCTGCCAACCCGATATTCCATGAGTGAACTTAACATGTTCAATTGGAATAAATTTTTGGTACTACTGCTGTACCCAGATTCAATACATCTCATCAATAAGAGCATTACACATTAGAAAAGAGAAGAAAAAAAATTGACAGAAAAAAAAAATTTAGCTGACATGTAATTATTTTATTGGTGGGATGTACTGAATCTTTAGTACCAGTAGTACCAAAGATTTATTATTTCAATTGAACTGCCCACACTATTCCCACGACTTATGTTGGCTCTCCCACCTTGCTTATATTTTCATAAAGGCGTTATTATATCTTTTGAATTCAAATTTCTTTAGAATAGGAATTTGTTTGAGCTAGAATAATTTTCTGATTTGTAACAGCTCATGCTAATTTATAACCGATTAGGCATTTAGTTTTCTAATTTGTAACATGCCACACATTTAATTTTCTGATTTATAACAACTCACATATATTTGTATTAAAAAGGCGTTGTCATGTACAACACATTTTTTATAGTGAAATGATACCTTTTTTTAATTAAGAAAACAAAATCACACTTCATAAGATGACAAAAAGAAAACCCACTAAGAATGACTACTTAAAAGTAAAATACTTATTATATCAAATAATGATAGTTCAATTGACGTCAGAGAATTGAATAGATAGATGAGAGCACGTGTTCGATTCTCTCAATACCGTCTTTGGAAGGGTTAGTACTTTGGAAGGGGTTTAAATCTCGGGACTCGCCTCAAACCGGAATAGTCGCGAAACGATAAACGGATTAGAATATCTCCAAAAAAAAAAAGGTAAAATACTTAATACAAAAAGAAAATGTGTAAAGTACCTTTTGGATCTCAACTAAAATTACGGGACCCATTTTAATCCCTTAGAAAACAAATTGACTTGTAATACCTATTAAATTCAAAATTGTGGTCCCTCTGAAATTCAAAGAAGAGGTTACCCACGTCATCCCTCAAAATGACTAAGGGGGTGTATTGGATTATAATTTTAAAAGATTTTTTTGAGATAAAAAATCTTATAGATTTTAAAAGACTATTTAGAATTGGAGAAATTTTAAAGACTTTTTAAAAGACATTTTTTACAATCAAGATTTCATAAGATTGGATTTTAATATAATTTATAAGATTTGAAATTACAATATAAATTTTTAAGATTTTAAAAAACCATTTGAATTTGTAACAAACATTCAAAATTACAAGAGTCAATAAAAAAATAGCAAAGAAATGCAATGATATTAATAAAAAAGTAAAATCTAATATATTTTTCTCAATCAGTAAAATTCATGATAACATTTCATTTGGAATTTTTTGCAATTGATCTTGTAAATCTTGGGATTTTTGTTCTACGTGATGATAGTTTTCTAACCATATATCATATGCTTGTTTTCATTGAGTATTTCAAGAAAATTTTGAATCTGAATTTTCTGAGTTTTATTACATGAAAATTTAAAAAATTTCTCAAATTATTTTCAATCGATGCATTAAAATCTTAAATTGCTTTGAAAATTTTGAAAAACAAGTTTTTAGTGATCTATTGACACAAAAATTGTTTGAAATCGTTTCCTATAGCGAAGTAATTTCGTTCATGAATGTATTATTATGAAACATAGCGTTCATATTATGATAGTTTTAATCTTTTTTTAAATCGATCTTGTTTTATTGATCTAAAATAAAAATTGGTTTGAGGGATTTTGTTCATATGTTGTTTTCGTCTATTTTATGTTGTTTTTAATACATAAATCACACATTTTCGTACCAAAAAACTATGACCAATTAGCTTGAAAAATCGTTTTTAAACTTTCAAAAATTCTCAAAAATAGCTTCAAAATATGCTATTTTTTATATTAAAATCTTGTTGGGGTGTTGTTTGTAAGTTATTTTGTGATGAAAATCGGTCAAAAATATATTATTTTTGAGCTTTAAAGAAGCTCCCATGGCGGAACTCGGTTTCGAGCGGGTTGACCCACCAAAGGAAGAAGAAGACACTGCAATAGAGAAATCTCAAAAAATCCTAAGGGTTAGGATGAGATTGTGAGAGAGACATCTTAATTATATTTCTCACTAAAAAGTCACACGAAATCCACACCAATGGAAAATCCATTAAAATCGTAAGATTTTTGAATGTCACAATATTATTTTTTCTTTGTTTAAAATCCTGATTGAATAACAACAGATTTAGACGGACTCTAAAATAATCTTTTAAAATCCTAATCAAATACCAAATAACTTTTTTGTAATTCTTTAAAATCCTAATTGAATATTAATGGATTTTTTTTTCAAAAATAATCTATTAAAATTCTTTGAAATCTCATTTCAATACATCCCCTGAGTCTATTTTAAATTTCACAAAGACTATGAGTCAATTTTTCTTTTGAAAGATTAAATTGGATCACGTGATATTTGTTACCCAAAATATATTTTACTCAAAGAAAATTAACTAACAGTGCTATTATACGAGTTAATAATAGATGTTTTGAAAATTTGTATGTTCGAGAATCATTTTAAAACAAAAAGAAAATTATAGAAATAACTATTTGTTAAAAATAACAAAAACAAAATTAAGTAAAAAAAAATAGAATTAAAATTTTATTTTATTTTCTTTGAAAAGAAAAACTATTTTTTTTTAGACAAAAATATCACTTGGCATGATTTCTGGCGCTTTTTTAAACGCTTTCACCCTTCCCACTCCTAATTCACTGCAGCAACTGCAAAACAATCTCCTTCTTCTTCCTCCTCCACCTTCTCTTCTTTCTCTCTCTAGAAGCAAGATCTTCAAAGCAAGCTTGAAGCATCAATGGCGGGTTACAGGGCGGACGACGACTACGACTACCTGTTCAAGGTGGTCCTGATCGGCGACTCCGGTGTGGGCAAGTCGAACCTCCTCTCGAGGTTCACAAAGAACGAGTTCAACCTCGAATCTAAGTCCACCATTGGCGTTGAGTTCGCCACTCGCACCTTGAACGTCGACTCCAAAGTCGTCAAGTCTCAGATCTGGGACACCGCCGGCCAGGAGAGGTCATTTTCTCATCTGGGTCTTTCTTCTTTTCTCTTTCTTGTTTCTTCATTTCGCGTAAAAGAGATAAAAAAAAGAAGATGAAAAATCTCGCACCCCATTTTTAGTTTTGTGTTCGATTTGGCTTTAATTAGCTAGATTTATTAGCTTTCCTAGCTGGAATTGGAATTGGGTGATGAATGGGTATCTGGGTCGGTGTAGGGTTGAGCTTCGTGTAGCTATTGTGTTATTATGGAAGGTTAGTTTTTATCAAAAAGATCTAATTTTGTTTCGTGTCAAGTTGCTGGTATAGTGTTACTTGACTTGGATTTTCTTGGGTCGGTCATGTTTGTCTTTTTGTAATCTTCTTTTCCCTTTTAATTTTTTGAAGCTTAGTTGGGTGGATCGTGATCCTGTGATGCTTGAACACCTTGAATGTGATCCAATTTAATTGCAGTGTATAAGTTGCTAATCCTAAAACTTTCTTACTGAAGTCAATGTTTTTTCCTCTTTTGAACTCCATTTGTTGACTTAAGTTAGTAAGTTTCAGATTTATGAGGTTAGCAGTGCAATTGGGACAATTTTCTAATGGTGTTCGATTTTGATGATTTATGCCCTATAATAAAATATTCATTTAATTGTTTAATTTGTTTTTCAGATATGATGCAAACTTTAGGTCTCAATTGTTAACTAATTTAGGAAGTTATGTAAGACTTAATAATCTTCATTGAAGGTAAATCAATATTTATAGTATTAGGAATTCATCACATAGGCAGAAGACCTAACTCAATCATGGGCGTATTAAAAAACACTTTATGTTTAGAATCATGTTAAGTTGAACTCAATTAATCCTCAGTCAAATTTAGTCCAGTTCGCATTATATTTATCTTTTATGAATGTACGTGCCCAGTTCTTGCTGCTGCTTTATGATTTTCTTTCTTTGGGAAAGACTTTACTGTTTTAGAAATGTGGTAGATACTATCACGGAGAATTGAAAATCATAAACTTGAGTATGTATAGTTTGAGAAAACAATATAGAAACAGAAAGGCCCATGTTTTGTTGTTTTGAACCAGAATTTTTTCCCTTCTGCAGTTTTGTTGAATACTATTCTATTGCTGACAGGTGTCAAGTATATTGTTAATAAAAATATTTATTTTTCTGTCTTTAATGATAATTTATGCTTTATATGTATCTGTTAGTGGATATTTCATCTGGGCTTAATTTTTATTAGTTCATTCACTTTGATATTTTCTTTATGACATGACATTGGAACTGTTGCTTAAATCACATAACTTGTGGGCTTAGATTCAAGTGTTATCGTTGTGTTGAACTGCTGCTTTTGCATTTCTACATTATAAATTTATAAGGATCTGAGATGTTGATATTAGTGGGTTTGGTTGGCCTTGATCATCTGTAATCTCAGCCAAACAGTGGCCTAAGTCAAGCATACAAAAGCTCGTTTGAGCCTGTTTGTTGCAAAGTATGTAATGTAATCTAACAAATTTATTTGGAAACACATTATATAATCTTCTTCAAATTGGTGAAGCAACAGGGAATTTTAATAACTGGTCACTGGCTTGATCTTCCTTTTACCTGGGGACAGAAGATTACTTTTCTATTTCCAATAATCAACTTATCAAGAAGTTGTGAACTTGTATCACTTAATTGAATTGCCGATTCAACCATAGTAATTCATGCTTCAAAGGACTAGGTAGTTGACGATTTGCTAAGCCCCACCCTCTCTCATTTACACTTCAATATAGCATTGACCTGAAGTAATTTTGAACTTTTGTGGTCTTTGTTTGCATTCAGTGTCACCATTAAGTTAAGCATCAAACTTTGTTAAACAGATGCCTCTAAACTAGAAGTTACTTTTATGCTTTCAATTTGATGGAACATGTCATGGAAGATCTCTTGCAAAGAAGTAAGTTTGGACCTTTCTCTTGGCCCACCTGATATGGATGTTTACATTTTAAGTTGAATTTTGAAGAAATAATTGTTGGAATTTGTATCTAAATCCTATGGGTTATGAATAAGAAGTGGGTTGAGGAAGGAAAGAAAGAGGGAAGTTGATGGGTTATAAGCTAAGAAGTCCCACATTGGATAAGTAAGAGGTGGAAAGGTATATAAACTCTCACCTCACAATACTAGATTGTCCCTTGGGGTACTACACATTTTGTGGAGGAGAGACGACTTAGGTGGGCATTGGTCCACCACACACGCGCCACCGCCGTCCGGCTCGGTTAAGTCAGTTGCGCATGTTTGTGGAATAAAAATAATTTTTTATTAAATTATTTTATTATTTTTTGTCCAATCATTGCTTCCCTCCAAAATTCAAACTGAAACGTTGCTTCCCGCCTGAACCGGTTCTTTCCTTTTGATTTTGTTTTAAACCGAACCGGTCGTACCACTTCACTGCTGTCAGTCACGGCGGTTCATCATGTCCGGTCAGTGGCTATATATAGACACTGACCCCTTCACAAAATTATTGAATTTTTATATAGACACTGACCCCTTTAGAAAATTATCAAATATTTTGCACCGTTACTTTGCTAGATCTTTTCTTCATCCATGCATGCATGCATCCATACTTTTTGGTGTGAATCGTTAGGCATCCTGTTGTGTTCGTTCGGGCTTTTGATCGATAGTGCCTTCGTTCTGAAGATGTCAATTCGTTCTATTCTGAGAGACAAGTGTTCATCAACCTTCGGCATTAGTGAGGGAATAAATTGTCTTAAGATTGTTGTAGAAGACAGTGGGTGAAAATTCACCTATAAATTTGAATCTGTGTATGATACCAGAGATAGTAACTAACGATATAATTAAAGTGCAATAAAACTTTAAGAACGGCTCGAATTCCTCATCATATTCTACATACTTTTATATCTGATCAAGTTTGCCCATTCTTAAATTTTTATTGCAATTTAATTATACCGTTAGTTACTATCTCTGATATCATACACAGATTCGAATCTATAGGTGAATTTTCATCCACTGTCTTTTACAACAATAATTAATATTACTCCTTGGAGATTTCATTTTATGTTATTTGTTATGATACACTTAATGCATCTGATAAGAACCTTGAGATACACTACCCCAAAAGCTAGCTCAAAAATGTAGGACTTCAACTCTCATACATTCCAAATGGGTTTGTAACATTCCACCACACTCCGCAGCCCCGGCGCCCATGCGGGCTGGCTTTATGCTAGTCTTTTACTAGCCCTGGGCGAACACTGCAATGCCGGTGTTACCACCCGCGCCGCTCAATTGCAATCGGGAGACATAGTGGAAGACTCTGATACCATTTGATAAGTACCTTAAGATACACCACTCCAAAAACTAGCTCAAAGGGTGGTAGTGTCCAAGGCTTTATAAACTCCACATTAGTTTCCCATACAACCAATGTGAGACTTCAAGTCCCATACATTGCAAATGGGTTCGTAACAGCATCTTACATAAAATGAAAGAAGTTGCTAGTATCCTGGGTTTTGGAAAAGACTCTGGCTGGATACAAATTGTGTCTGGAAATTATTGTTGAAACCTTACTTGAAGAATCATTTGAGAGTTGGTAATTGACTGAGTGTCCCAATTGGAAACTTGATGGGTGCATTTGAAAGGCTGATATTATAAAGCTATAGGGATGTGTGGCAGACATAAATAATACAATATTCGGGACAACACTTTGCTTGATATTCATATTATTCTACCAGTGGCTTTGTTGAATCCCAGTCCCCCCCGCCCAGCACTTACATTATTATTATATACCTTCTATAGATATATTCATGAAGTCATGCACTTTTCCAACAAAACTTGGGCTAAATGGAATCTTTCCCCCCTTAGGAACAAAAAGAAAAGGTGGGCAAGGAAAAAAAGAAAAAGAAAGATGCCTTCATTTTTATTTCATTTTCTGCTACTGTGTTTAGTGAGTTGATTTTGCTCACACACCATTAGAAAATCTAAAATACAAAGTGAGATACATGGTGTAATTAATGATGTGCAATTTATCTTAGTTAAGATCAAGGTATGCCTCCCATCTTCCTCAATTTATATCAACAAAAAAAAATCATAATGAGTGTGTGCACTTTTTCAGTCTTTGTATGCCCTAATGACTTTATATTGATTCTAATTTTTGTTTTTAGTAATTACCAAATATGTAATTATCCAACATAAAGAATATTTGGTATGTGTATAACTACAGGGAATGGATCCTCTCATGTTAAATAAAACATAACATGGTCGTGTGGGAAAATCATAAATATACAAAGGTGGATCAATAGTGATAAGGGAAGAGAGAAAAAAAATATTGAAATAGGTAGTTTCATCACTGGTTATTTACCTTTGGATGATTGTTATTTCCTTACATGACTATATCATGTTTTATTTAACATGAGAGGGAATCGATTTCCGTAACTTCAAAATATTCATGCTGTGTCACCGAGACACTGCTTAGTCCAATCTTGTTTTTTGTCCCTTTAATTTATGACCACTTAAATGAACATGAATTTCAATTGTTGCTTAACAATCCTTGATGCTAATTGTTATGAATTATTATGTTTATAACTAGCCAAACCTGTATATTGTTGACATATAGCTCTGGCCCATATTTTACTTTTCCACCAAATTGCATGCTTTTTAACTTACATTGTTTCTCTCTATAGGTATCGTGCAATCACCAGTGCTTACTATCGTGGGGCTGTAGGTGCACTTCTTGTGTATGATGTCACACGCCATGCAACATTTGAGAATGTTGACAGATGGCTGAAGGAATTGCGAAATCACACTGATTCAAACATTGTTGTGATGCTTGTTGGCAACAAATCAGATCTTCGTCACCTTGTAGCTGTATCAACTGAAGATGGGAAGGCTTATGCTGAAAAAGAATCACTGTACTTCATAGAAACCTCAGCTCTTGAGGCAACTAATGTAGAGAATGCATTCTCAGAAGTTCTGACTCAGATATACCATATTGTTAGTAAGAAAGCAGTTGAGGGGGCAGAAAATGGAACTGCATCTGTGCCTTCCAAAGGAGAGAAAATTGATCTTAAGAATGATGTGTCTGCTTTGAAGAGAGTTGGTTGTTGCTCAAGCTAATAGCATATATTAGACTTGTTGTCTAACGTTAAAACCATGTTTCATGTTCAATAGGATCTGGGGAAGCAAGTTGTTGGCTTCATGGCTAGCCTTAATTATTTTGTTATTATAATTATTATTATTATTATTAACATCATTGTTATTAGTTTCTAAAATGTTTTCACTAGCAAAGTTTCGAGCTTAAAATTCATTGGATCTATTGTTTCTTTTTCTGTTACCTCCTAGACTATTCTGCTGAACAAACTTTTTTATGCCAACTGGTTTGATCCCTGGGCGTTACACCGGCGTGTAAAAATACTTTGCTGCACTGAAATTTTTGTTTATAAATTTTGGTAGATTGAAATGATCTTCTTTTAATTCAGAAATGAAATTTTCACATTTAATTAATGGGTTAAAGACTTCTCATGTTATATGAGAAGAATATTTTTTTTTTACATACACAATAAACATGTGGGTCACATTGAAAAGAGGTATGAAAAAAATTTCAGTGTGAAAAGTCTTTAACCCTTAATTATAATGCCAAAACAGATTAGCATATGAAAAAAGAATGACATTATCACTATGTGGCAATAAATTTGTTATTGAATGAAATCATCAACTTCTAAAAAAGAAAAAGAATAACCAACAAAATAGAAGTTGCTAATTTGCTGTACCATCATGGTTATAAATTGGATTAAAAGTTATGCAACTTGCATGCTAATATCAAGCAAGTTTACATGCAAAATACACGGTAACAACTACAATCTAAATATTAATGTCATGTTACTCAACTTGCTACTTGAATGTCATTGTTAAGTACATTTTGATACAAAATACATAGTAACACTACAATCTAAATATTAATCTTGAATCACTAGTCACTTAGAGTTGAGACCTAGAGGTGTTACTCGGTTCATACTTCACTCAAATAATAATAGCATTTAAGTGTGGCATACTTAAGTAAATTTACAAGTTACAACAGGCTTCTGGGAACTGTTTTACTCATATCAATCTCAAGCTCCTTGTCCCAGTCTTACGGGAAACTCTATCTAGTAAGAAACATTTTTTTTTTCTCAACTCGAATTGTGTCATATCATCTCATCGGAGATGCTTCATCTCGTTAATTCATAATCTTCTCCTTCAAGGAATTATCTCTTTCTTAAGCAGTTTCATTTACTGAATATCATTCTTTTCCCATAATAAAGCATCCATATACATAATTGTATGCACCTAACCCGTCCTCTCGTTAATAACTACGACATTCTAACATGGATTCCTTGAAATTTGTAAAACTTAACAAGTCAATCTTGGTTCATATTAAATCTATTTCCAATGGTAAACTAATTTTTTTGAAAATGGACCTTTTAATATATTTACTATATAATTTAATATTAATTTAATTTAATCGGTTGAATCAATGATCCATCAATCTACTATCTTGACTGGATCGATGATCTGTTCAAGTTTAATAACATTGACTTAAACTACCCAAAATATTTATGCTAAAAATATTAATTCCTTAAATTTTTAGGATTATGAATTTATTTCAAAGAGTCAATAAGCTATATTTAAGTTGAGGGTAGCAAAAAATGGGTTAGTTAGGCGCATATATGAACGCGCACAAAATTTTTCTTTCTGCTAGGGTTTCTTCTTTGAGAACTTTTGCTGGATCTATGGGGGATACAAAGGTGAGTAGCAATGAGATTTTGTCCATGTCTAAGAAAAGTACGAAGCGAACGAAATGTGGGGAAGAAATTCCGATGGAAACACGGATGAGAGATGTGGTGAAGAAGTTCCAAGCTGGTGAGGCTGTGCATGATAAGCAGAGGTCCTTCGCTGAAGTTACAGGGGTGGAAAATGGAGTGTCAGGAGGAGCTATCCCCTGGTTATTAGAGGAAGAGGAACCAGAGCTGGAACCTCTAGACCCAAATCTGGGAGAGATTTCAGAATGAGGATTCCAAACTATAATAAGGGAAGATGGATCTGTGGAAATAAAGAGCAACAGAGAAACTAGAGCTAGAATGCGTCAGCGTTGGAAGAATGCATTAATAGTTAAGCTTCTGGGCAAGAAGATCGGTGTTGGATTCATGAAGAAGAAGCTAGAGGCTCTTTGGGCTAAGGCTGGAAGCATAACAGTGGTTGATCTAGGGAATGAGTTCTTCTCTGTAAGATTCAGCAGTTTGGAAGACCTTAATCTAGCCATAGCGGGAGGTCCATGGGTTATTCTTGGCCATTATCTAGCAACTAGAAAATGGGAGCCTTGCTTCGATCCGGATAGGGTGAACATCCATAAGGTTGCAGCCTAGGTTCTCCTTCCAGGTATTCCTCAAGAGTATTGCGAATTTCCTTTTCTGAATCATGTAGGAACAATGATTGGTAAAGTTCTAAAAATGGACAAAACAACCTCAACTAGAGATAGGGCTCGGTTTGCAAGGGTTTGTATAGAGATTGATCTAGCCAAACCTCTGAGAGGGGAGTACATTCTGGATGGCTGCAGGAAGAGAATGGAATATGAAGGACTTTTTAATTTGCTTAAAGTGTGGTCCGTATGGCCACAATTCAAACTCCTGTCCAGACTTCGCCAAATCAGCTTCAATGGTGAATCCTGTAGAGACTGCTAATCAGCCAATGGATAAACCTGGTCCACAAGGTGTAGGACCTTGGATTGTGGTTCAGTGCAAGAAGAAAGGAGTTCAAACTCCTCAAAGAAATGATGTCAGAACCAATAGATCGTTTGGGGAGGATATTTCCAATAAGAAGAATGTTTTGGGTTTAAAGACTGGAGTTAGTGGTGGAAGAAGTATTTTGAAAAATGCTCTTGAAAAGGTTCTAGAAGATAATTCACCTAATCCTTTGGTGAATAAGGAAAATGTGTCGTTGATTAACAATACTCAGAATTCTGAGGTGGGGATGAAGTTTACAGCAATGGCTTCTAATCCTATTAAGAAGGTCTCAGGATTTAAGCAAGTTGTGTCTACTTCTAAGAAGTCTTCTACTAAGGCCCTATCAGCTAAGGGCAAGGGGGTTTCCCACTCCCCTTCTCCCAATCTGGTTGCTAGCAATAGCACATGCCTGCAAAAATCTTATCAGAAGCCTTCTTAGGATCCTTTGGAGCCTCAAAAAGGAAAGCTATGGGGTGACTTGATGATGGCTGCTGAATCTTCATCTGAAGAGATCCTCTTGGATAAATCCAGAACCATCCATCCGGCTAGTAATTTGCTCAATGGGAAATGCTTGAAGGACCCTGACCCCCCTTATCTAGATATAGGGAAGTTCAAAAGAGGGTTGAAGCTCAATCTGGTATGGAAATGGAACAATCTCTTTGTGCATCCCTGACTATTTCTGTGCATGGTATATGTGATTCAATGTGTAGAGAGAGAGAGAGAGATGTTGATATCCAGGAGGCTTATGTTGTAAGTCAAGAGACAAGTAGCAAGAACTTAGTAATCTTGCAACAACCCCAACCTTCTCCATGAATATTCTGACTTGGAACTGTAGAGGTACTGCAAAAAATCAGTTTAAGAGTACCTTCAACAGATTTCGAAAGAAGTATGGGGTTGATGTGGCTGCCATTTTAGAACCTAGAGTAAGTGTTAATAAAGCTTTGAGTATTATCCGTAGTTTGGGATTTACCAGTTATATTATAGCTGATGCACATGGTTATGCTGGTGGAGTTTGGGTTGCATGGGATCCCAATGATGTGAATATTTCTCTTATTAGGAAACAAGACCAATTTATTCATTGTTGGGTTGAGTTTCCTGGTAAGGAAGGATTCTGTTCGACAGTAGTGTATGCAAGTCCTCAAGAGGAAAAAAGAAGAGTGCTTTGGGAAGATCTGAAGCATGTAGGAAGGAGTATGAATGACCCTTGGATGCTGTCAGGGGATTTTAATGAAATTTCTTCTGTTTCTGAGAAGAGAGGAGGAGGACCAGTAGATGTTAATCGATGCAATAGATTTAATAATGTCCTGGATGCTTGTGGGGTCATGGATTTGGGAGGTGGAGGTAATAGATTTACTTGGAAAGGGCCTAAATTCCTTCACTTGGACATGGTGTGTAAAAGGTTAGACAAAGCAGTTGCCAATGATTTATGGAGAGCTTGTTTTGATGAAGCAGATGTCTTGATTCTTCCTAGAATTTTCTCAGATCACTGCCCTGTTTTAGTTAGATTGGAGAAAGAGGAAACTAGTTGGAGGGAGAGACCTTTTAGGTTTATAGCTACCTGGCAAAATGATCCCAGGTTTAGCTTTTTCCTTAAAGCTAACTGGGATCCTGATTCCAATTTTCTGGATAGTTTACATTCCTTTATCCTTGGGTTAAAGCCTGGAATAATAATGTGTTTGGGTTCACTTATTATAGAAAGAACATGGTGATAGCTCGGTTGGAGGGCATCCAAAGGCAGCTCAGCTTGAATAACAACTACCAACTAGAAAAACTAGAAGCTAAATTTAGAAAGGAATTATCTGATATTCTGGACCAAGAGGAGCATATTTGGTATCAGAAATCGAGGGGAGAATGGATAAAAGGTGGTGACAGAAATACTGGGTTTTATCACACTAGTACTCTGATTCGAAGGAAGAGAAACTAGATCATAAAACTCCAGAATAATAATGGTGGTTGGGTGTCTGGAGAAGGATAACTAATTGAGCTAGCTAGAGGTTTTTTCACGAAACTTTTTAAGGAGGGCTCTGTTGAGTCAGAATGGAGCCAAACAAATTACTCCTGGCCAACCATCAAGGAGGAATTTAATAATCTTCTAACTCTGGATATTTCTTATGAGGAAGTAAAGAATGCATTCTTTCAAATGCCTCATATGAAAGCACCAGGACCTGATGGATTTCCAGCCTTGTTCTATCATAGGAATTGGGATCTAGTCAAAAATCAAATTTACAATAGTATGAAGTTTTATCTCAACCATCCGGATCAGATAAAGGAGATTAATCATACCTTTCTTACTCTGATTCCTAAAGTTGATAGGCCTTGCATAATGAAGCAATTCAGACCAATTGCACTCTGCAATTCTGTTTATAAAGGGCTGAGTAAAATCCTGGCTAATAAGATTAAACCCCTCATTGGTGATCTTATTTCACCTAGCCAGGTCAATTTTATCCCTAAGAGAAACATTCAGGACAATATTATTATTGTTCAAGAACTTATTCATTCTATGCATAGGATGAAAGGGAAGAAGAGTTTTTTCTCTATCAAGATTGATCTAGAGAAGGCTTATGATAAACTCAATTGGGAGTTTATTAAATCTGTGCTGGAAGATCTGAAGCTGCCTGGAGATTTGGTAGCTGCCATCATGGGTTGTGTCACAAGTCCTTTTATAGAAGTATTGTGGAATGGTGCTAGAACTCAGGGATTCTATTCAAAGAGGGGAATAAGGCAAGGGGACCCTATATCCCCCTACTTATTTGTTCTTTGTATGGAGAAACTTACTCACCTGATTATGGATGAAGTGGGAAGGAAGAACTGGCATCCTATTAAAGCTGGCAGATCTGGCCCCCTGATTTCCCATTTAATGTTTATGGATGACATCATTCTTTTGGCTGAAGCTTCCCTAAGTCAATTGGATTGTATTACTAGCTGCTTGGAGAAATTCTCTAGAATGTCAGGCCAATGTGTGAGTATGGAGAAATCTTGCATTTATTTTTCAAAGAATACTTCTCAGGAGACAGTGGATTCTATTTCAAGTGTTAGTGGTTTTAAGATAGTCAAGAATATTGGCTGTTATTTGGGGGCTCTAATGAGACATGGGAGAATTAGAAGAGACCATTATGCTGATGTCATCTCTATAGTACAGAACAGGCTATAAGGCTGGAAATCCAAATGCTTGTCTTTGGCTGGTAGAATCACTTTAGCAAAGAGTGTAATTTCAGCTATTCTAGTATATCATATGCAGAACAGTACTCTTCCAATCCATGTGTGTCAAGATATTGAGAAACTTCAACGCAGGTTTATTTGGGGAGATACAGATGCAAAAAAAAAGCTTATTATGTGGCATGGGATCAGTTGTGTCGTCCAAGGGAGTGTGGTGGTCTAGGTATCATTAATCTTAGACTACAAAATGAAGCATTCGGGCAGAAGATCTCTCGACAGCTCATCAATGATCAAAACAGCCTATGGACCAAGGTTTTGCTTGGTAAGTATGGTAGGAAGCAGGATCCCAACAGAAGCCTAATTGTTAGAAAGAGTGACTCTTCTTTATGGAAGAACATTTGTTTAGCCAGAGATAAATTAGCTCAGCATTTGATTTGGGAGGTTGGTAATGGTAAATCTGTTCTCTTCTGGACAGATTACTGGGGAGGATGGAAAAATAATATGTATGATCCTTCTTTAGTCAAACCTCCAAGTTCTGATCTAGAATTAAAAGTGTGTGACCTTGTTGATCAAGAAACAGGTGGTTGGAATTGGAGCTATCTGGAAAACCGTCTTGATGAAGCTAATTTTGGAAAGCTGCAAACAACTCTTCCCCCTGATCCAAGTGGCCCAGATGACAAGCTTAGTTGGATAAGAAACAACCCAGGTAAATCTCTGGTAAGGAATGCATATTGCCAGCTTACTGACTCCAATTTGGGGAAAGATAAAACTTGATCTATCATTTGGAAATGGAAAGGACCATATAGAATAGCAATCTTCTTATGCCGGCTTGCTTGAATAAACTCCCTGTCAGAAATATTACTTGCCTTTGGAGTGGAGGGGAGATTCTATGCCCAATCTGCTTAACCAATCAAGAGACAATTATACATGTTCTTAGAGATTGCAAAAGTGCTAGAAGTGTTTGGGAGAGATGGTTTGAAGTTAAGATTCCGTGTTCTTTCTTTCAGAAGATGGTTTTGATTGGTTTAAACTTAATATTTGTAAGCCATTATCATCTAAACTTTGGCATTCTTGGAAGGAAATATTTTATGTAACTTGTTGGTTCTTATGGCAATGGAGGAATTCAGTGGTTCATGACGAGTTGTTCTCGTGGCCTAGTGATCCTATTTGCAGGATACTGAGTTATCTAGTGGAAATGAAGGAAAGTAGTAACGGTTATCCTTTTACCTCGAAGATAGACTCTCATATATCCTTTGGTGGCTTAGGACAACAAGTAGAGAAGGATACTATTAAAAATTTTGTTGATGGTGCTGTCAACTTAAATTCCAAAACAGGTACTTGTGGAGGATTCATTTGCACTTCTAATGGAGATTGGCTGAGTGGATTCTCCCTTAATATAGGCTCTTGTTCACCATTGGAAGCTGAATTATGGGGAATCTGGCAGGGGCTCAAGCTAGCTGTGGATTTGAATCTTCGTAAGGTTTGGCTTGGAAGTGATAGTAAGGAAGCTCTCCTTTGTGTTGAATCTCCACTTTCGGATGGCTTCTTATTCGTAACCAGGAAAATTAGTAGTATCATTCAGTTTTTTGATCATTTTCATATGGAGTTTGTCCCTAGGGAGTATAATATTTGTGCTGATAGTTTAGCTATGATAGGGTTCAACTGTAGGGGTGGAGAGTTGAAGTTGTTTTCCTCTCCCCCTGCAAGTATTTTACCTCTTTGGAGTGACCTTTGTAAATACCTGCTGATGGAGCATGTGTCTTTTAACATGCATCAACTTTCAATATAGTTTTCCTGGGCTAGGCCCTCCATTTTTATCAAAAAAATAGGTGAGGGTAGCACCTCATTCTCATCAAATCACAATCCCTGCTTTGGACTACTATATTAAAGCCCGTACATAAATCATTCACCATGGAAAAAGTATCATTAAAGAGGCTTACTAAGTCAACTATAGTTGCTCTGATTCATCTATGATGGCTCCTTAAAAGAAATATCAAGCCACCTATATCTGGAATCAATAAGAAATTTTTTGCCTCATAACGACTGGCTTGATATTGCCTCCATAAAAGCAATATCAAGCCACCTATATCTGGAAAGGTATCCCTCAAAATTGGTCATTTCGCCATTATAAATGCCAGTGTTTTAAACACAAGGCATCTTCTCATATATACTTGATCAGACCAAATACAGTATGGGCTGGCCAATATGTATTAGGCCAAATTACACATGGTTAAGATGTGAATGGAATTATTTTTCTTGGGCTTGGATTTGTTGTTGAGGATCAGTATGCCTTTGTCCTTTGCTAGCGCGATGAGTCCGGATGAGGGGGTACCTGCGAAGACACTCTGATGCTTAAGTCAGTATCAGAGGCAGGTGTATGTATGTGAATAATGAAATAGATAGATGTACCTGGGAGTGTACTATAACAGCCCGTTGTACACCGGTATCGTTAACATTAATTATGATATTAAGCGCAGTTACAATCACAGTAATTCATTTATAAAAATGCGAGTAAACTTTTTCCGTTTATTACGCGAGCATTTAAAACCTTAAAAAGCGTAATAAATAAGAGCTGTGACCGTAACTGTAAAATCTTTACGAAATAATTATTTAAACTAATATTATATCATATATTACATTTCTCAAGACACTAAGGGGTTCCCATAAACCCACTTAGCCTAAATCTCATTCTATCCATGTTTCATACTAAATGCCTTCACCTTTTTATTTACTCGAAGGATTATATACCTCTCCAATGTACGTCACTTCTTAATATGTTGTAGATTTATTCGTTAGCTTCGCGTGGGTTCAAACTGCGCTCTATTTGGAGCACCGTAGCCCAAGATATGAATTTTCTAAGAAAAGGGATGCTGATTCCACAGGACCCCCGCGCTGACAGCGCCAGAACCCGCGCTGACAGCTCCACTATTGCGCCAGAGACAGTGAGGACGGCGCCCACAGTGCCAGATTGGCGCCCATAGCGCCATGGTCACTTCCTCCCACTGATGGGTGGCGCTAATAGCGCCAACTTGGCGCCAAAAGCGCCGCAGTTCTGAAGGAATGCACTAAAACAAGGAAGATTCAACCTATCTTGGTATTTTACCCATAACTTGAGTTATACTAATCCTATTGACACAAACTTGGTCTTGTTGGAAAGTTAAAACAAAGATCTATAACTTCCATGAAGTCCAAGGAGTCCAATTCTATCATATAAAGGTGAGAATTGGGTAACATTCTATTTATATTTTAGAAATTTCGCCAGAGTATCCTTTGTTTTTCCAATAAATCCCAAATTTGCAAAAGTGTTCCCTAACCTCAATTTGTACCTAATAATCATTGGGTGGCACACAAGGATCAACAATGCCTTGGTTCTCTTACAACCCATTACAATTTATATCCAATTTAATCAGCATACATCAATCATGCTTACTTTCTCACTTTAACTTATTTCAATCACAAGATCCCATTTGCATGCATTCTTTGAATCATAAAGCATCATTCACATCCTAGAATGGGTCTATTGCTCTTTCCTCATATTACATACTTTCATATTACATCAAGTCTTCATATACAATTCACAATTCCTCCAAATGACATGTTACAAATTATAATTCTCCAAATACAATATAATGAAATAACCTCAAAATGAAACATAATACTGTTATGGACCAGAAAAAGGCCCACAGCAATATGAAGCCCAACCAACGTCAGCCCAGAGGAAAGCTCTATAAATAGGACTAAAGACCACAGGTATGACTGATCTCTCTAACCCTATTTTATTCAAGACATTACAGTGCACACACACACCCCTTCTGGCTAAAGTCATCATATAGTGTGTAGTGATCAGCTGTCCCCAAGATACCTAATTCATAGGTATCTAGAGAGAAAGCTCTAGATCCAACATCAAAGACCCGACCTTCTGTCGGACATATCTGCTTCAGGCAGAACATTGGCGCCATCTGTGGGGACCGAACCCACGACCACGTGGTCAAAAGCCGCGATGGTGAGAGCAACAAGAAGTGGATTTCGACAGCCGTCGAGATCGAATTCCAGAATCCAGCCTATTTCTCCAATTAGGGAGAATCCTCTGGATGGACGGCAGATAGATGCCGACGCCGTGCATGTGAGTGATGTGCATTCCCATTCGGCATCGACTCCAGCTGTTAACCAAGATGCTCCTTACGTGCAGGGTTTACAGCCAATAGAGGAACAAATAGCAGATACTGCACAGGCACCGATTGGTGCAATTGCTGATTCGCGGGTAATAGATCTGGCAGTTGCCGCAGTGCTTCGGAGAATGCAGGAGATAGAGAGGAGACACGGGCTGGAAAGGGAGGAAGCTGCTAGACAAATGCGAGAGCTGGAGGCTCGAGTGGGTCGAGCTACCAACCTGAACCCGGAGCAGGCAATAACACGGGTTATGAAAGACCTACGGATTGCAGGCACCCAGGCGAACCCTAATGGGGCTCAGGCCCAAGGAAGAGGGGTTGGAAACGTCAGAAGTCGGCCTCAAAGAAGCACCCCCAATGTGGTCCATAATCAAGGACCCGAAGTTCTCAATAGGAACGGGGGACAAGAGAGACCGAACCTGAACCCGAACCCGAACGATGTATCTGGGGTCTACAGGAGGAAGTATCATAGGGGGCAATATAATGACAGCCCCTTCGCGGACGAAATTGTGAATGCACCATATCCAGAGAACCTAAATCTTTCTGAAATTCTAAAATATGACGGAACGCAAGACCCTCAGGTGCATTTGGATGCCTTTGATACAGCAATGTATATTAAGGGGATTGAAGAACCGCTAATAACCCGGTTATTTGCAACCACCCTGACAGGAGCAGCTCAGGCGTGGTTCTCCTCCCTGCCAGCGGGATCCATCAGGTCGTTTGAAGAGTTTGGAGGCAGGTTCTTGCTAAACTTTGCTACAAGCAAAAAACAGCCAAAGTCTGAATTTGCGCTGGGGAAAATAAAGCAGCAGCCTGGCGAAACCCTGCAGAAATATCTGGACCGTTTCAAGATGGCCGCGTTACAAGTTCCTGGGCTATCCAAAAATGTTCACCTTCATTTGGTGATTGTCGGCCTTCACGGATCTTCCAAGTTGGCCAAGTCCGTCTATAAAGACCCTGTACGAACTCTAGTTGAGTTCACTACTTGTTCCAAAAAATACTTGGAGCTCGAACAGATGCAAGTTGAAAACGCGGACCCAAGGCCGCACCAAAGCCAGGTAGAAAAACCTGAAAACCGAAGGCAAAATGATTTCCGGGGAAAAAAACTCGAAGAGAAAAATTTATCCAAAATAAGATTTGACAGGTACACGCCTTTAAATTCCTCCCGATCCCAAATCTGGAAGGAAGTGGCATCCACCGAGATGAAAATGGTGGACAGACCTTGGCCACTACTGAATCAAGCTGGGCTTGATCAATCACGGTATTGCGCGTTCCATGATGGCCCTGGTCACACAACCGAGGAATGTTGGGATCTTAGAGACGCAATTGAAAGATATATCAGGGAGGGAAAGTTGCGTCAGTATCTCATACGAACTCAAGGGTGGAAGAACAATAAGAAGAGAAAAGGAGGACAACCGATGAGCCCGAACCGAGAGAAGAAGTTCAAGGATGAAGGCTGAGGTAAGAAGCCGGCCAAAGAAGATGACGAATGCGTGGAGCCCGAGTTCGAATGCAATGTCATTAGTGGAGGATTTGGTGGAGGAGGTGATAGCATGAATGCCAGAAGAAAATACTTAAGAGAGGTGCTTTCAATTCGAGAGCAGCCTAAATTCAAGGCAGAGGAATCGGAAGCACCACGGCTGTTCTTTACAAAAGCAGAATTGGAAGATATCATGCCGGGGCACGTTGACGGGCTAGTCATCACCGGGACACTAGTCAACTGTAAAGTCAGGAAAATGTTCGTGGACAACGGCAGCTGTGCCGACATAATTCTCTGGCAGGCATTCCAGAAAATGAACCTGGATTTGGAGGATTTGAAGCCTTGCAACACGGCTTTGATGGCATTTAATGGCTGTGATACTATTCCTAAGGGATACATTGATTTAAGGCTCGCCCTGGGAACAAAGGAGGCTTACAAGACGGAAATGGTAAGATTCATCGTTGTCGACTTCCCATCAGAGTATAATGTGATTTTGGGAAGACCAACTATCCACGACTGGGATATGCTGGTCTCCACTAAGCATCAGAAGCTCAAAATGGTTGGTAAGCAGAATACGGTCATCACCATTCATGGAGACCAAAAAGAATCTCGGGACTGTTACTTTAAGTCAGTCAGAGCAATAAGCAGTCACCTTAAAACGCCAGGTGGGTTGAGCACCAGCGATAAACCGGAAGCCTCCAAGAAAGGAACTACACCGGTAAACATGATGGAATTGGACAAGAGGGATGAAAATCAGATCCCAAGACCGGAACCAGATGGGGAGCTGGAGGAGGTAGTTATTGGAGAAGAAACTCAAATAGCCAAAGTCGGAAAAGGGCTGGCTAATGAGGACAAGTTTCGGATTACTGAGTGCTTAAGAAGGAACGTCGACGTCTTTGCCTGGAAGTCCTCAGAGATACTTGGTGTCGACCCTCAATTCTGCTGTCACAAGCTTGCAGTATACCCGGGGTCTAAACCGGTGGCTCAGAAGAAAAGAAAACTCAGTGTGGAACGTCGCCAAGTGTTAGAAGATCACATAAGAGAGCTGCTGGAAGCAGCAGGATTCATAAGAGAAATACAATATACAACCTGGCTGTTAAACGTGGTCATGGTGAAAAAGCCAAATGGGAAATGGAGGGT